CAAACTCCGGTCTGACCCCTCCGCTAAATCCACTTTCCCAAGACTCACATGGGCCTGAGGAGGCAGCGGCAAAGTCCACAACCATCGAAGTGTAGTGCTGCAACGTGCAATTACCTTAGAAACGACACAGGCACCAGCACAACGACTAAGAAGCCAAGAAAGCGCAGCCAAACTACCAATGCCACAAGGATCGGGAACAAGTATCACTGAACAGCAAGCCACGACACCACGTCCACTGAAGGTGGCTGTGCGATTGAGACTCTGTATTTTGCCTCCTCCGCACGATGCTGGCCGTGAAGGACTGGCCACATAGAGATCAAAGTCTCGAATTCATCTCCTCATGTGCTTCGCAGAGAAATGGCGACTCAACCAGGTGAACGCAAAGTCAAAAACCAGGAAACAAAACCAGCAAATAAGGTAACAAGAGGTAATCTTGGTGCCCCGCCTGGCAGGCCAGCTTCTCTACAGGCCGAGCCAAGCTAGCAAACCCCGCATAGAGTCTCGAAATGACCCGTACCATCTGAGCAAAGACTGACAGTCTAACATAGTATTCATGCAAAATTGAACTCCACACCCAAGACTGCAGACCCAGCACCTAGCACTACCTAGTCACTCATTCGCCCATGGCTCCTGACGAACCGTTATTGTGGGCCGGATGCTAAAAGCTTCCAGGGCATCCTTTACAGCCTTTGCATGATTACGAAATCTTAAGACCCAAACAGTCTTTGCGATTGAGCTAACCCAACAAAAATTTGATGTAAACTAGAACTGCCACTAGGCTCTCAACAGATAAACGTTTTAGACCACAAAAACCATGACTACACAAAACTCGAAGAAATTCCAATCAAAGCCCCGGCAGCGGTTCGAGTCCAGCCTTGGCGAAGCCCAACAACAAACGAAAAAGTTGCCCTAAGTATGCCCTAAGTATGCCCTAAGTATGCCCTAAGTATCCCCCAAGTACATACCCCTTCAAAGTACCAGTGCCACTGCCTTGACTTGAACTTTGTCTTCAAGCTTGAAATCGCGACAAAAGACGCCATGAATTTCACACACATTGACTGGACTGCAGTGGTCATCGGTTGTGCGGTATCGTTAGAAGCTGTCGGTGCTGCCTCATAGATCCTAACCGCCCCACCCAACTATTACAAGATGGCCAGCCCAAAGTCAGAGGGATGTAGAGTTTGAGGCAGGTTATGCTTTCTGGCATGATTTCACAGAATAACGAGCCGCAAAGAAGCTTACAAATCTGCTGTTTTCAAGGCCGTGTTGCAAAAACTGCATATAGCTTTTCGCCAGTTGCAGCGGATCTCGCGCACTGGGCGCCATGGAGAACAGCAGTGCTTCTGCAGCCAACAGCAATCCAGTGACTACCATTCCTGGACAAAGTTCGAAAGCGCCATGCATCTCCTGAGCAGCAGAGCGTAACACATCTCGTCTCCAATCTTTGAGGCTGTCCTGCTTAGTTGAATTGCTGATGCGAAACAAACAAAATGCCCCGCGAACTCTGCGCAACGCCTCTTGTTCATGAATTGGCATGATGTCATCGAAACGGAGATGAATCTAATCTGACTGCCAGTCTGACTGAGGCCCCTTTAACTTTAGGGCGTCTATAAGTGAACGCATACATGACGCATACATTGCGTAAACGAGTTCATTTCGTGCATATAATACTCTTCCAATTGGCTCGCAAACAGCGTCAATGCCTGGATTTAACCGAGCTCTCCTTCTCTAGTTCGCTTATTCACTTACAATTCGACACTTCGAGCGTGCATTTCGCTCACCAGTTCTCTTCACTCGAAGTGAATGAAAGCCCCAATACTGCAGTCCGGAGTCCGAAGAGAAAAGAAACAAGAGTCAAGACTGGATGCGCAAGGGGTATTGGTTCCGGCCCCGTTGTGCGAGATCCACGGGAATCACACCACGAAAAATGAAGGATGAGGTCCCGCTTGCTGGCACAATGGCCCCAGGTGCGATGAGGTGGGGTGGCAGCTGTGTTTGCAAGGGCTCAATGGGGGGGTCTTCGCTGACCACCGCCCAGACGGCACGGAGGCCCACCCCCGCCCACTCGCACTCGCCCGCACGATGCCCACAACCGCACACAACAACCCAAAGCCAGGGTATCAGCACACTGTCAGCAAGGTCACGCCCGTGACTAGCAAAGACTTGTGCTGCCACATGCTGCATGGAGCCACACATACTTGCATAATAGTGGCAAGCTTCATCAAGCGGCATTGCCATGATGAAAGCAGACTCCTCCAAAGGAGGTGCCGTGCTTCTGCCCTGCAGATCCGACACGCAACGATCACATGGAAGCTGAACAAGAAAATCATTGCCAATCATTGCCCAAGATCTGCCTCATAAAAATCCCAGGCCCTCCGCTGGAAGTCGAAAGCCAAAATTTCTGACTCGTGGCAGCCATCTTCTCCACAAAGCTCAAACTTGAGTCTCGAAGTCCAATGACAGCCCTGACAGGTACTAAACAGCACCAGCGCTTGCAGCAATGGCAGCATCGACATCGCAGCTAAGAATCGTGAGTGCGAAGTATTGTTACTCAAAATCTTTTCGGCATCAGAGCTTGGACACTTAGATCGGTCGAATCCTTATATAGCTGTGTGAGGTGCATAGTGGCTGAGCCCCGACTTTGCAACGCTGATTGGTGTCAAAGGACAAGCTCCGACTTGCAAAGCCACTTCGATTGCACGTACATTTACACGACGTTGGGGCATTACATTTCCATGTTCCCTGCCCCCCGCCCCCCCCCCCTTTCAGGCTTAAAAGTCGTCGTCTGTGCGAAGTTACAAATCCGCGTGGCTTGCAGCATTGGGAGCCACAGAGCCCACAGAGCCTCTCAAACTCAGCCGACGGTCTGCAATAGTTGCGGTTTGCTGCCAAGGGAGTTCCAAATTATCTGAAGCACGGAAAGTCATTTGGCCTGCAACAGCTGTGGTTTACACATGAAGAAACAAGTTGGCTTCCGTCGCTGTGGAAAAAACACTCGCAGGTTCCAGCGCTTTGTCCAGATCGTTCCGACTCGCACTTGTGGAAATCATGGGAGTGCCCCCTTGGCTCCAAGGCAGATCCTATTTCGGGTCGGCTCGCAAAATCCTGTGTGTGTCGTACAGCAGACATGGCGCCTCCTGTGGAGGTTGCAAGAGTGGTTGCTTTCGGGTTCAGATGGTGATAGGCTTCACGCAGAGTCATTTACTGGTTGGAGACGACGATGGGGCAGATCTTGTCAGAGGCAGTGGTAGCACCGCATGGCTAATTTGGGTTGCAGAGCCTGACGCGAACAAGGGCTGCTCTAAGAGCGAAGCTTTCGCAAAGAAGGCTTCTGGGCACGCATTGCTGAAAACAGCCTCCATCTTCCCACCTTTCCACCTTTCCACTGCCAGTGGCGTCTGCCAAGTTGTCTAATTGAAGGGCAAGTGTTAAGCGGCTAGTTTAGAAGGATTCATATTTTGATACTGCAAACGAGAGATCGCCGACTGCAAGTGCAATGAGTCCAAAGAGGCCAATAGCGAACAGGGGATGCGAATGGATTGAGTGACCTTTTCGCCCAGTGCACATTGTAGCCGCAGGGTGGCTGCTTGTCTGCGTGTGTCGGCAGGACTTGTCACAACAGTGTATGATGTCATCGGCATCCCAAAGGTTGAAGACAGCAAATGGCTTACGCAGGTATGTGCCATGCGTGGTCCGTCATGAGTTCACTGGGGGTGCATTCTACAGGAAACGTCTGTCAGCCTCAACCAAACAAGTTTTGGACAGATTCACATCCAGCACCCGAGAGGCATGGCAACGCCCTGCTGCGCATGCACCTGCTGACATGCGAGGGGCAAACCACATTGAACGAAGTATTCTGACAAGACGACCGGAGAAGAGCTTCGCAGGCCTGTAACTTTGAGGCGCTGCAACATGGAAAACTTGGTGCAACAAACAAACGAAGCTGTGAAAGTAACCGAAAGGCATGCAGTAGCCTGTTCAAATGATCGTGAAGCAACTAGTTGGAGACATGCTCGCTGTCACATTGATAAGAACAGAGACAACACAGTATGTCAAATGCTGCTAGCATCCATAAGCATCCACTGCTGCATGTGAATCACGCTGAAAACAATCACCCACAGGTATGTGGTCTGGGCGTCTCAGGATCATATAATGCAAACTGGCAACGGATTGGCAAAGTTCAGCAAAATCGGTTGCCGCATTGGAAACCACAGAACTCAGGATGCACTGTACCTGTGCCTTCTCCGACTCTCGCCGATCTATCTGTGGGACAGCCTACCATAGTGAGCCATAGTAGCCATTCTCAGTGGTCAACACTGGAACACTGGGCCAACACATGCAGCACAGATCTGCAAAGGGAGCAAGCCTCCGACGCAGACATGTCCGGCCTCCAGCACAAGTACAAGACAAGCTCACAACGCGTTCATGGACTCCCGGGCTGTCACATCTGAGCGACCGACACGTGAAGATCCGGATCGAACAATGGCGATTCCCGAGGCACGCAAGTTACCTGGTGCAGATCAAGCGTAGAAACTGCAAAACATCCAACAAACTTGCTTCTTCCGCGGCAACTGAATTGAGCGCTTCAGACTCAACAGGCAAACTGGTCAACCCCAGGAAATGAAACGTAGCATGACTCACACTGCACTCACAGCAAGCTTCCTGTCAGGCACAACTGCCAGGGCCGCGGCGATGGGGCTGGGCTCGCTTGGTTGCTGGGTTGGATGGGCGGGGCTGGGCGGGGCTGGGCTCCCAGCGGGCTGCCTTTCCGTCTCCCTTCTTCTTGGTTCCTTTCGTCCTCCCTTTCCTCTCTTCTGGGCTCTTGAGTCGGGTGAACCATAGTGAACCCATAGGGCTCCCTTCCTGTCTTTCTGCTCCTTAGGCTCCTGAACCGGTTCTTGCCGACTTGAGCACGTGCTCGGAGTCAGGGTGTTCGTGCACATCGTGCACCCAAACACACACGTGTTTCGCAAATATAAGCGACTCGTGATTGCTTTCATACGCTCAAAATCATCTCCTCATGAAAACATTACGCCTGCGAAACAAAGGGTAAACATACCGGGAAGCAGGGTGGAGGTGGTGGCGTGTCATCTGTGCTGAACAAAAGCTGCTCATGTTTGTCGAGCGCTGAGGCCCAAAACAAAGAACGGAGTGACGCAAGCTCTGTCAGAATTAGCGGAATTAGCGGAGCGCCAGGATCGGCCAGGAGCTCAGTTGAAGGCTTAAGGTAAAGCTGACAGCAAAACAAGAGACTGAATGACTATGGATGACTATGGTCAAGCAAGTGTACCTTTGAAAGTCTCCTTGCCTGAAGCCAACCTTGTGGCCTTGCCACGCCGCGGCAAGAATCATGTTTTCTGCCGAGCCGCGGCATTCTTGCCGCGGCTGCTCAGGGCAGGACGCTTGTCTTTGTTCCGGCGCGGAGAGCCAGCTCAACGAGGGTCCAGAGCAAGTTTGTTGTTCTTGTTTTGGCCAAACGAATGATACGAATGCCTTTTTGGCCTTGAACAAATTGGTTGGAGTCAAGACGAGCGCTGCGCAAGCCAAGAAGTCAGACATGCAGATGACCTCAAGCGACCCGGCACTTTGGGACCTTTGCACAGATCCGCTCAGCCCAAAGGGAACCAGCGCACGTGCTTCAAGCCGTGCAGCGCTGGTTAACGTAAAGGGTCGGACAAGGGGCTGCCTTGGCTTTGTTTTGGCCTCGCTTCCATCCTCGGGGTCACCCTTGTTTGGACACGGACTGGCCCCTTACCAAGCCAGCTCGGCTACCATGACAAAATACTAAGCTCACGCCTTTGCAAAAACAACGGCACCAAGAATCCCAATAAACACTTGAATGCGGGAACACGCCACACAATGGCACACACTTTTCGTGCCCGACCTAGATACTAATAGGAAATCTTGTCGGGGCCTTGCTGTGCAACCCAATCCATGCCATCGCGGTTGCGGAGAGGCGAAGCATTACAATGGTGCGCTAAGCTTGCGGGTGGGACTGCCCTCACCTGCCATACTATGAGCCACAACACCTGCGTTTGAACAATCACACTACAGGGAATATGCTTTAAACATGCGGTCCTGTGAGACAGCGCTTAACATCAACCAAGCATGGGCGACCAACCATCAGGGGTCCACTGTCCTTTGAAGAGTCAGGTCGACATTCGCGTCAGCGGGATAATCCGATACTCGCCATTAACGTACATGTTCAGGGTGATGAAGTAACTGTCAGGACCCATAGCCTTCCAACAGTCTTCCAACCATTTCCCAACAGAACGACTGCACGTTAAACTTAGCCTATGCTTGCCATGAGGGGATGCAAAACCAATACGAACTGGCCGGAATATGTGGACATGTAGCACAACAGGCGAAACAGAAACCAGACCAACCACCAAGGAGAAGCAACAAGTACAAAGAGCGGACATGCCAAGATCGCCACAGGAACCTCATGTTGCACCAAAGAATGCACGCGACTCCGCACTTGGATGTGCCCTGACCTTGAGCTGCTTGAGCTGTTATTGCAGGAACCCTCTTCTGTAGACTGCAAACCTTCCAGTGCAAAGCAGCAGGCAGCGCCGGCAGAACTTTTATGTGCTGATTCTCCAACGGCTTTGTGGCTTAGAGCGTCAGCGAGGACCCTGCACAGGGATCCACACTCAGACAAACACACACACACACACACACACACACACACACACACACACACAGAGTATTTAACAAAACTGTACGCACAATAAGCGCAATTCGCACAACAGGCGCATGTCCCGCCAGCGACTCTTCCTACCTACTTTGGCGTTGGGGGGCCGCCAGAAACCGTACCTCTTGTGCCACTCTCCGTGTCCTGCATCATAACTAAAGACAACAGCATTGCACAAGCAACACAAGGCTGAACGCGACAATCAACTGCACAAGCTGGCGGGCCTCAGCATGGCCAAGAACCATGGGTACTGGCATCTGGTCAACCTCAGCACACTTGGAACGTGAGTGTGGAGGCTTTTGCTCTGAACAATCGCAAGCGGCGGAAGCTAAAAGGGATACACAATGCAGAAGATGCTTTCCACAGACGAAAATCTGGCTGGAATGCTTCGTTCGTTTCAAAGCACGACCTCTACTTACATAGATTGTGCTATGACAGCTACGATGGCCAGCAATAATCATCATTTCGTCATCATTCTTCATCATGCTTCACGATGATAGATAGTACTTCTGCAAGCTGTTGGTATGATCATGCTAAATTTAACGGTGCTTTAATGGTACTGGGTTCGGGATTTTCTGCTTCTCAACCTTCAAGTTCGGATTCGGGTTCGAGCTTCTCTGCCGAGGCAATCCATCTTTCCGGGTTCTTTTTTGATCCCCCGCTGAGTCGCAAACTCTTGATTCTGGAGAGCTCTTGGTGAAGTCAGCAGCAGGTCGCGCTTCCTGCCAGCCCAATTTTACTTTGCCACTACGCCATTTCCAGAATCGAGAGCACCTCGCTACAACTCCCCTCAAGACTTCACAGGG